GTGTCGACGATGGAACGCGCATAGAAACCGACGCATCGCTGGTCAAGCCACCGTTTTCAGGCTTCCAAACTGCGTCCTCTCGGCATCAGCTCCGACTAGTGAACTGAAGACCCTCATCAGATACCTCATCAAAGAGGAACTCGGGCTCCTGTTGCCGTCGGCCCAGCTTCCTTTCGCATCTGAACAGCAAACCACGACCAAAGACAGCCTCAGGCAGCTCATTCTCGAAGAATTATGGGCATCGACTCGAATCCTCACAGAAACTCTGTGCGCTGCCTCACCTGCACGCTACTACCAGAATTATTTCAATCAGCTTGTCGGGCAGCCAAAATATCCTAGTCAGCGTATTAACAACGGGGATCGCGGTTGCCACCAGCAGTATCTACAACCCACATATCGCCCTGTTTGTTTCCATTGTAGCATCCGGGGACATGTTGCACGCGACTGTAACCGTCGCCAGTGGGACACACCTCGACGTGTCTACGCGTTACGACCGCCAGCTACATATGACCTCAACGAAAACCCTTACAACAACCGAGATCTCGGTGATCGGGACACGAGGTACCCCACCAGATTCAGCTGGCCACGACGTTCAGCGTCCCCCACCAACCGTGGTCGCCACAGCCGGACCCCGTTATCTGTCTATCGCTCATCCTTCATCACCCCTCCGGTCCGACCAGACCTTTCTTAAGTCATTCATTCTCGGGGAAAACTAAAATTGGCAGCTCAAGGGGGTACAGCTGCTTCTAGATCAAATCAACATCCCCCGCGATCATTTCCATCTTCAAACCTGCTAGACATTATCATGAAGCAGGTGAGATTCACGGAATTAATCGACGCTGCTGCATCTATTTCAATTATCAACGAAAACGTTCGAAAAAAAAAGTTAAAGCTTGTTGGCCCACCCTTGGAAGGGGGTTGTATCCACACTGCTAACACATCTCTGACTCATTCACACGGCGTAGTGTCCATGTCGATAACAATTGGCACTGACTCACATCGCCATTGTTTTGTCGTTTTATCTCACTGCAACCATGACGTTTTCCTCGGATGGGAGTTTTTAGCTACACGTCACGCCCTCATTGTTTGTAGTAGGAATGAAGTGCATTTAAGTGGCATTGAAATCTCGCCCGACTCCGCTCCTTGCCAAACCGTCGCTTTTCTTACCGCCTCCGACTACCGAATACAACCATTCACCACAAAACTCATATAGCTAGATGCAGATGTCAGTGACTCTGATTACTTAATTGAACCCAACAGGAAAGTTATTTTTCAAAAAAATATTTTTGCCTTACCTACAGCACTTGCAGCCTCCTGCGGCGATTGAACTCCTGTTTGGATTACTTATACAGCAAATCTTGCTCAGGTTTTGTCCGCTGGTACGTGCGTCGGCACGACAGACACTCAGGCAATCCAGCACATGAATAGTGTTACCCTCACACCATCACAACAAGAGTCACCACCTACCAAATCATGCGAACACGAATCCGACGCATTCTTGACAATGATTGATCCTCATTTACTACCTACATAGCGTGACAAGTGATCAAACCTTCTGCACGATTTCACCGATTTATTTGACGTCTATGCAAAAACTTTCGGTGCAATCTCCACTCTACAGCATATTATCGACACAGGAGACCACCGTACAAAGCGGTCCCTATCGCGTTTCCTAAACTAAACGCCGAGTTATTCAGAAGCAGGCAAATGACATGTTACAAGGAATTATCGAAGAATCCTCAAGCCCGTGGTCTTCACCAGTCGTCGTCGTGAAAAAGAAAGCCGTCAGTTGAAGATTTTCTGTCAAATACAGGCGTTTAGACAACATCACAAAAAAAGATGTCAAAACTTTGCCACGTATAGATAATGGCCTTTTTACACTATATGGCTCCCGGTGCTTTTCATTAATCTACGTGCGCTATGGTTATTGGCAGATTAGTGTAGACAAAAAGCGTAGAGAAAAAAACAGCCTTTGTGACACCTGATGGCCTCTAGCAGTTCCGCGTAATGCCCTTTGGGCTTTGCAATGCCCCTCCCACATTCGAAAGAATGATGGATACCTTATTACGTGGCCTAAGATGGACGACGTATTTGTGCTATTTAGACGATGTGGTAGTGTACTCCTCCAACTTCCATGAGCCTCTATCTCGACACCGCGCGGTTATCTTGTGTTTCCGCAATGCTTCCCTGCAGTTGAATTTCAAGAAGTGCGAATTCCGCGCTCAGACGCTCATGATACTCGGTCATGTTGTCGATACTCAGAAGATAAAGCTAGACCCCGACAAGCTCAACACCGTATCTCATTTTCCTCGTCCAACAAACCCCAAAATACTACGGCCTTTTCCAGGTCCGTGCTCGTACTTTCGTCGCTTCATCTGTGGTTTTGCTAACATCTCTGCGCCCCTCAACCACCTTCTTAAAAAGTATACACCATTTATTTGCTGCTAAACTCAAGACGAGAAATTTCTATCCTTAAAAGCAGCTTTAATAACGCAGCCCGTGTTAGCCCATTTTGATCCGCAAGGCGATACCAAAATACACTCAGACTCGAGCGGTTTCGGACTAGGCGCCGTTCTAATTCAAAAGCGTCAAGGCCACGACCATGTCATCGCATATGCCAGCCGATCATTGTCAAAAACCGAAATAAACTATGCCATCTCAGAAAAAGAATGCCTAGTTGTAATCTGGGCTATAACAAAGTTTCGACCGTACATCTTTGGACGTCCATTTAAGGAAATCACCGACCACCATGCCTTGTGTTGGTTGGCTAATTTAAAGGATCTAAGCGCACGCCTAGGCCGATGGGCGTTCAAGATGCAAGTGTACTGCGCCAGTATCTGCTACAAATCTGGAAAGAAGCATGAAACATCCGACTGGCTGTCTTGGAATCCAGTTGATACCTGCCCCGAAAAACATGGAGCACTTGCTGCCGCAGTGTCCCTAACATCCTCCGTTGATTTCGGCAGTGAACAGCAGTAGGACCCCAAACCACAGAAGATTATTGCTGCTCTCGACACCCTCACCTAACTCAGAGGGACAAACGGGGAACCCGCCTTTGTATATTCCAGAATAACATACTCTATCGCCGAAACTATCGTCCACACGGTCCTGATCTCTTGTTCGTCGTCCCCAGACACCTCCAATCGAATATTCAGTTGGCATTGCATGACGACCCTACTGACGGTCATAAGGGTGTTTACGAACCGTACCTGTGTGCCCGCACCATCTTTAACTGGAAAGGTATGTATAGTGATGTCTTCAAATACGACAGACACATCCTGCGTCAAGTGACAGCGGCGGAAAAAGCCTACCCAGCTGCCAGCCGGTCTCCTTCAATCCCTGCCACCACCTCACTATATGTTTGAGCGAGTCGGCATTGACTTGCTCGGTCCCTTTCCTAAATCGTTCTCAGGCAACCGCTGGGTGATTGTCGCAATCGATCATTTCTCGCGGTACGCTGAAACTTGCCATTCGCCTCATGGTACAACCACAAAAGATTGCCACATTTCTTCTTTCTCAGGTCATTTTTCAGCATGGCCCACCTCGCTAGCGGATCAGCAATCTTGGCCGCGCTTTCCTTTCTCAGATTTTTCAAGATCGTTTGCATGTTTCCGGCACTGTGCACACATTTACGGCTGCGTACCACCCTCAAACAAATGGCATGGTCGAACGATTCAATCACACACTTCCAGATATGCTGTCCATGTCTGTCCATGCCGACCAACGCCGCTGGGACGCAGTACTTCCATTTTAAACATAAGCTTTTAACACTGCAGTTCACGACACGCACGGATATTCTCTTTTTTTTTTTTCTTTTTTATAACCGTTTCCAAGTATCCAAGCTAGACACACTTTTTCCTTCCCGCGATTATGTCACCCAGATCTCCCCCAGCGCTGCCGAAATGATTTGTCGAGCGGAGGAACCACGCCAACTTACACGTGAACGTACCCGCGCTTTGCAGTAAAGACAATCCCTGCAGTGCAACGCCACCCATCGGCCTTCAAGGTGTTCTGCCGGCGACTTAGTTTGGATAAGGCTACCACACTAGACAATTAAGCAAAGCAACCAAGCTGCTTCATCGATATGCCGGGCCTTACAAAATCATCGCCCAAATCTCAGACGTGACCTACCGAGTGGAACTCCGGCAACTCCTCCACGCTCGCCGTCGAACATCAACAGACATTGTCCACGTCAGCCGCATGAAACCGTACTATCCCCCATCCAAGCCATATCACCCTTCTCCATCCCCCTCAATGCATGCACCCTTCGGTCGGGACGACCTACGCTTTTTCCCGGGCAATTGCTACGAGGAAGAAGATGGCGGGCGGTCTTTTCCAATTAAAAGCCGAACCGCGAACGGACATCGCTTTCCTTGGTGCCAGAACAACGTAACAATATATATATATATATATATATACATATACGTATACATATATGATTTTTTCTTCTTTGTGGAGTTGCTTTGCGTTCCCTCTATTCTCGAAATAAAAGAACTGGACACTAACGAAGAGTGGTTTCGATTCGCAATTTTAGATAAAATTATGCCTTACTGTTTTGACACTTCAAAACTTCTGACCAAGTTTCTCCTGAAAAAACAATGTTTTCAATGCTGCTAATATTTCACGACCATCGATTACTATACCACACACAACTAGATCATCGTTTCCTGTTTTTAATATGAGTTTATAGGAGAACTACACGCAGAACGCAGTATTCTATTAAGGAGGTTTGCAGCTGTCCCGCACTTTATATTTGCCTTTAAAAGATTTAAATGCGAGTTTTTTTTTTCAATTTCTCTTTATCGCACTTAATAGTTTAATACTACTCGCCATCTGATCCATCATCGCAACTACTGAATTGTATTGGTCATTTTCATGTTTTCACTGTGCTCATGTTCTACTAATATTTAAAAAAAAAAACACAATCGAAAGTAAAAGGATACACAAACGTCTATCTATATTTTCGAAGACGTATTCGAAGTTTCCAAACTTATACTTACAGTGAACTCTGCCCATGTTCGAATAACATTGGGAAGGACCCATTTTCGGCGGGACCAAGGCTGGAAAATCGGCCGCACTTTTCCTTGCCTCCGAATGCTGGGTCACTCTCGTAGTTTCGGTACACCGGATACCACGTCTCTTGAATCGGTAAGCACTGCATTAAAGGATTAAAAAAAAAAAAAAAAAAAGCTGTGGCATACGCTGTTTTTCATTTTTTTTTTCTTTATTTGTTTTGCGGGTATTTTTCCGCATGGAAAAATATCTTATGGTACGTTGCAATTTTAGTAACAGTAATATTACAGTAATATACTATAGAGTATTATAGTGCTACTGTAATATCCTGTAGCATATCCTACATTATGTAGCATGTTACAGTTTTAGAATATCATGACAAGCTCCTTCCACAAAACCAGTGTTGTGCGGAACGGCGTTGCAAAGAACCCCGTTCCTTGAACGCGTTCCTTTCTGGAGGAACGAGGGAGCGACGCCATTCCATCTGCTATCAGTGGAACTGAGCAGGAACTTGTCTCGTTTTTTTTACCAAAAACAACAAAAAAAGAGGGCGTTTTTTTTTTGCATTTGTGTAGTGATGGCATTTTTATTTAATTTCTAAGGGGGAAACTCTAAAGAAGTATAAAAAGAATATATTTACGAAGAGCAGGATCCCTGCAGCTTTTTTGTTTGTTATTTTAGGGTTTATTTTGTGGGGTCCTGGTATGGTACAAGTCGGGAACAGGCGCGCTGGTGGATATAAATTTATTTATCAGTGGCCTACATTGCGGCACAAAACACAATTCGAAGAAAAAAAAACATTAAAAAAGACGTCCCAGACTCGGCTACTTTCTTTGCTTCCTAGAATGCGAATCTTCACACATCCAGAAATGTATGGCCGACTGCAGCCATTACTGAATTTTCACTAAGAGACCTACTGTTGCAGCAAAAGACCAGGTTACCAGACATTGAACGCAACCTTGTAGCTCGAATGATGGGAATACAAAGGATACACAAAAGTTAACCTTTATTTCCTCTCGGCTTCTCCCCCACATTCACACTGAAAAACGAATATGATATTCACGGAGAAGGACCGGTCGCTTTCAAGACTGAGTTTCCAAAACCCTTACCCATTTCTCCACTTACTCTTCTTGCGGACAGCAACATCGAGAAGCAAATGTTGTTAAGTTCAAACAGGAGACTTTGTTAGATGGAAAAGTGTGAGGTTGTTGTAAAACGCGTGTGCAATGTAGGTAACCCTTTAATAAAGAGTAATAAAATTAAATCCGCTCCTTCGCGGCTCACAGTACGTTTGGCTCCTTTGATTAGTCTACCACAAACATAATGATGAAAGGTTGAATTTAAAAGGTAAATAATCAACAAAAGGAACGTTGCTTCCGGTTGTTTTCTTCTCCTGGCGTCCTTCCATCACGGCATCGATATTCGTATGTAGCCGTTTGATGATGGTATATATATATATATATAACCTTTGGGGAAACAGCAGAAACCGACGGGTCTATTGCCACCTTTGGGGAGTCCGGCCTTCGTCAGGAATCAAATATATATATATATATATACATATATATATACGAGGTTCGTTTGAACTAACTAAAGATGGTAATTAGCAAGATACAAAATTAATCTACATGTAAAAATAGTTCCAATTTTTAAACTGTAACGCGAACGCGTTCCAAAAGTCGGAATGAAGAAGGAACGAGCTTTCATTCCTCTTCTTGAGGAACGTGTACAACACTGCTCAAAACCGCCCTGTTCGCCATATTACTAGTTTTCTCTTCTCAACTTTCCTCCCCACCGTCTTTCACGCCGCTACAGCGAAAAAAGTGGCGGGCTTTTCAAGCGGACCCTGATCTACTATTCTTAACCTTCAACAAACTATATTTTACAGATATTCAGAAACAATACGTGAAGCCGTATCACAAAACTAATATACCATTGACCAAACGTCCGATAAAATTGGTCACGAGACGTCAACGCATGTTTTATTGCATGTTATATATACCGACTACATTGTTCAGTTCCGTCAACATTATCGGTAAGAGGCAATAGCCTGCTTGTTTTATGTTCTCACAAATCGAATGATGTTGTGAAACCTAATTGATTTATAGATCGTGCTTATTTAGGGCGACAATGTTTGTATAAGGCAGAGTACTTAATACCATTTGGGAGCAATATTAGAAAATGCGCGTATGGCCTGTTCGCATCAACTGCAAAGCGCTGTACATGCTGGAAAGTGTGGCCCATCCGGTACTATCAGCATCAAAATACAAATATGAGAAAAAGGCACTTCTACGTATATAACACTATTATGACTTTTGATGCTCCATCATCGACCCTTCTCAAAAGTTATCGACCCTAGTGGCGGCGCAACGAACTTCACAATATTCTTCGTTACTACGTCGCCGAATTCCAGAACGATGCGACCGCAGTGCATACTTCCTAACATGCCGACAGACCGATACCCGGCCAAATGAACTCGAAAAATACCAAAAGGTTAAAAAAGTTCTTTATTTCAGCCTACCTATGGTGCCTGGAACGCGTGGCCAAATGGTGTATTTAGCGAGTCCCAAAAATGTGTTTCCTCAATGTCTGCCTGATAAGCTCATGGAAGTACCATCCCGTCGCCGGCCGCGATAGCGCCGGTGTAACCGCAGCGGTGGTGGATATGGCGCAGACGAATGTTTTGCTGCATGTTACTGTCCAGCTTGACACCCCACTGAAGCTTTGGCAGTCAGCAGTTGGAATGCCGTGATGACAACGACAATAACGTTCTCCCGTACTTTTGTCCGGGACTTCTGCCACCAGCCAGCAGGATCGCAGCATCCGACGGCCTAGCACTCCGGCTGTTATGCCGTCATTTGCTTCCACTTCGCGTCCACCTTCGATGCATGGGTGAAATAGGACGCTCAACACACCAGTCGGAGACGCGCTCCAGGCACCGTACTCACAATAAGGTCGATAATGGGCAAAGGCTGAATAAGAGCGCCGTGTCTGCGGTTGGCTAGGACTCTTATTAAATTAGCATCGTCGTTGGGCACGGCAAAATTGACGTGTCCTCGCCGTCGTACTGCGATGGTGCTTCACGGAGTAAGAGGAGGGTGCGAGACGGCTTTGTATTGTCTAGGTTAAGTTGCTCTGTTCCGAAGATTGACTTCATTACTGTTTGCTTTGACACAGTAGATAAGAATAGTTTTCAGACTACCTCGTATTTGTTGACTCCGAAGAGCTCCCCCCCCCCCCCTTTCCTATATCAAATGGCATGAGATAATATTCAGCATGGCCTGATATTTTCAAGGTGGTGTTCTCTCCAATTCGGAGTGCACTAATGAAACAAAACTTAAGAAACCCAAGGCATAGCGAGAACCGAACTCTTATAGGTTCTCGGCAGCCAATGAGATTTTAGAATTAACCGATAGCAACGCCGAAGAACCAATAAAAAAACAAGAAGTATTTGAACATAATAAGCCACGCCCTGCGTTTCTTAAGCTGTCATTAACTACAGTGAGCACAGCCAGAGCGGTGAAGTGTTATGTGCCATTTCTGTTTGCCGAGTATAGTTCCCCATACTTGAACGTTCCGCCGCACTATTGTTCTTATGATAATCTTTTAGCTTCAGGAGGCAAAAAACTAAGCATGGTTGCACGCAATTCGGCGCGATGTTTACCTAAGTTCTAGTCAACTTAAAAGGATTACGCAAGTTTTCATTTCTCCCTATCGGAAAATACAGTTTCATATTTTTTTTTAAAGCATCATTAGAGAACGCACACCCGTGTTCAGCCTCATTGTTGCTCAGCGTTTCAAACACACCCTATAAAAATTCCTAAAGGGAAACAGATAGCGACGTCAAACACCAATAGTTGGATTTTTCATTATAAGTTCTACCAATAAGAGATGGCCGATTGATGCCATATTCCGAACGTCGTGCAGCCACAATGGAAAAAAAAACTACGTCCAATCGCGTTTACAAGGGATACGCATGGCTATCGGAACATGACACCAATCGCTCGCCTGATTGATCGAACGCGTCAAAGGAAGACCTGTTATTTTCGACCCGACCGCATAATCCTATAGCGGACATGCAGGAGTCTACGAGAGATCAGGTATGAGTGAGACGTAATGTTGGACTAGACGTACATCCATAGCGTTCTGGTACTTGCCCAGTGCTGGGTTCAGTTCTGGATAGGGCGGGCGAACGTCACTGCACAAGGAAGTCAGAAGAACGGCGGCAGCAATACTACCGATAAAAAGAGCTTTTGCCATGGTGGAGTCTCTCCAAAGCGGCCGTCCACGATGCTTTCCCTGGGAATGCCACAATCAGGTTAGCGTTGGGTTTTATAACTAAACTTTTATCTCTAATCTATTGTCTATACTATTCGTTCGCATGACCCTCATTCACACATATATATAAAAAAACGTTATTAACTCCAAGGACTTTTTTTAATTTCAAAATTCCGCCTTTGTTGGTTTTTGCTTGTAACTTCAGGGGTTTGCAGAACTGAGTTAAAAGCATTCTGTAATACACTATCACAAAGTAATTTCCTGTGCATGCGATTCAATTTACGACGATACGATCTCTATGCAGTCGGTTTCAAAAAGCTGCGGGTACTTTGCTGGGAATTGGGGTTTAGGATTTTTTTTTTCAAGACCACCGTAGCCAGGCGGTATGGAACGCTCGTTTCCAAACAAGCCGTACCTCCAGCTGGTAACTTATGAAGCTTACCCTACCGAAGAACCCAGTACCTCTTTTCACTATCTAGATTAGGGAAATGTAAATTTCATTTGAACTGTTTCTGGAAACCTTAACTCCAGTTTGCAGACAAACGGAAAATTTATGAACGCGTGAAATCCAGATAGAACTCAAATAGATTTTCAGTTCTATATTCCAGATGGCGAAAGATGTCAACTATTTGTTTTGTTTTTTCGTTCCGGTGGCCGCCTCCCCAATGGTGTGCATGTCCTTCTAAAGGAAGCGGTAACCAGTATAGAGGAGGCAAGCATCGAGCGCTTGCGCGACCCGTAAGCAACACCACGACCAATAAAATAACTTGGCGGACTTGTTTTGATCAAGAACTGTTACTTGGCGTTGCACGAATGTCTGTTCGATTATTTTGCTTTAGAATTTAAAGAATGCATTCGTCCTCCATACAGTAGGACGAATGCATTTGTCTAGTTTAATAAAACATGGTAAAATATAAATGTTAACACACGGGACTACGTTGTAGAATTTCTACTACGCCCCTTCATAATTACCTTTAAATCGCAGCTAAAGGTAGCAGTAATACAACGGCCGGTTGTAATAAAAATTTAAAAAAAACTTTCGCGGGTATCCAAAACACACCAAGGCAAACAATTTTCTAACTGCTGCGAATTCTTTCGAGTGAAGTTTTCGACGCTGCCGTAAATATGGTGAAAAAATCGGAAGCCCGCTCCATCAACACTTGAACTGAAAGCGAACGTCTCTAACAAATTCACCGATGTACTATTGTTTCTTATTTGTATTAAAGAAAAGTTTCGCTTGCTTTAAACAGTATCTGGTAAACCCCCAAGTGTTGCTGGCCATCTATTGCACTGTGATTCCCTTTTTGAGGCATACCAGGTAGGGATAATAGAATATATCTAAAACCAAAAGCACCAACCAACTATCGCGTATCTGGCATGTATTGTAGAAGTAAATCATCTCGGTAACTGAAGTAGTTAAACTTCAGAATATTCAAATCAAGCATATCATCACTCTAGCAAAAATCAAAGGGCGGCCTGATGCCAGATGTCTTCGAGAATAATTGTGATGAGTGCATTAACGTAAAGGCCTTTAGCGAATCACAATCGTCACATGCATTAAATACATGACATGGGGCATGACACCAGTAAGATGCCACCCGTATGGAAATCTTATATCTGGGCCATATCTGGCCATATCAAACATTATATGATTATATACGGCCTATATACAGACTTATCTGGCGTATATACAGACTTATCTGGCGTATATACAGCATGATATGGCGTATATACACACTAATCTGGCGTATATACAAACTTATCTGGCATATATACAGCCTGATATGGCGTATATACAGACTTATCTGGCGCATATACATACTTATGAGGCGGCCGGTTTTCAATATATTAAAAAGTTAAGAAAGTAAAAAAAAATCTTTGTTAGCAAACTGTGAATGACTCATTGTTCGCGAGCTAAAAATTAGCACAAATAATCCTAAACTTCAGCTTTGACAAGCTTAAGTTTGAGATTATTTGTGCTAGTTTTCACGAGGATTTCAATGTAGCTTAATTATTTCAAAGTGTTAACATTACGACCGAATAGACAATTTGCTATATCCCCCAAGCGCCTCGTCCCGTACGCCACGAATCATGGGGACGGTGTTTCCTCAGCTGCCTAGTGATCGAAATTTTCGAGCAATTCTATGGTTACACAGATTTGAGTGTAATTCGGAGTCACCTTGAACACGTGCCGTACAGAACCCAAATACCTGCCATACCACTTTTAAAATGTCCCGCCAATGTCAGTACTGTGCATTCCGTCCAACCTTCAACCTGGATGAGCTGCAGACATATCTCTAACATTATTATCATTCTCGTACAGCTTGAAAGACGCTGATATTAAGTTAGAAACGCTAAAAATGTCATAAACAGCTCCACTGAATCCGAGCTAAATCCTGATTTTGGTTGTTGTGATTTCTGGGCTTTTAAGTAATTCCTGCTGAAACGAAAATCTCGAGAATGATAGTATGGTAAGAGATTTCGGCGGCTCAGCTTGGTTGAAGGTTGGACAGAATGCACAGTATCATAAACGCTGCCACTGACGAGAAAATTTAAAAGTGATATGTCAGGTACTTGAGTCCTTTGGGACGCTTGTTCAGGGTGACTGCGAGTTACACTCGAAACTGTGTAACCATGGAATTGGTCAAAACTAGCGGTCACTAAGCAGCTGAAGGATCACCGTTTCCATAACTCCTCGAGTGTGGGCCGGGGCACTGGGGAGAATTGTAGACAATACAATTATATAAAGTGCTGATTTCACGCTTCTGTTCTGGTCTGGATCTGGAATTTCCTTACTTAGCCAGATCTGGGATTTCCATACCTGGCCATTGGTATCAGGCTATATCTGGCATTATGAGGCTATATCTGGCAGATATACTATATCTGGCAGATATACTATATCAGGTTATATGTGGCCAATTTTTGATATGGCCATATCTGAAATCTTCAGATCTGGCCAGATATAAATTTTTTGTAAGGGCACGCTCACCGTTTCTGCTGTTCTAAGAAATAAACTGTGTGGGTGTTTGTGAAAACTGGAACCTTGCACAAATGATTAATAAGCCCACACGAGGAAATAATATTTTCGGTTTAGTTCTGACAACTATAACGGAATATGTTATCTCCACACCCTTCCTGAGTGGTTTCAGCTATTACCAAAAAATAAGCATCGGAATAAACCTTCAAATAGAAAACGAGCAAGCGACCTCTAAAGTAACTCGCGACTATAACAAGGCCGACTCTTCTTCAATTAAGAAAAAACACTTTGCTTTCGTTTTTCTGGCCGATGCTGATGAATTTCAAGATGGAACAGTCGAGCAAAATTGGAAACTATTCAAGACTAAACTTTCAGAACTTATTTAGAGCTTCGCTCCACTCGTTCTTATCCGATTCGTTAGTAATCAACCATGGTTTACGAAAACAATTAAAACTCTAACAAACAAACAAAAGAAATCAGAGTCTAGTGTTTCTTGCTGAAATAGCCAATGCTTCGGTGCCCTGGACAAGGTATAAAATTTCTGAGAAAGATTTTAATTCCTCCATTGTCGTAGCCAAGGAAACGTACTTTAACTGCGATCAGCTCTCCTTTCTTCTAAATAATAACCATAAGAAATTAAAAAAAAAATATATGACCGCAGGACTCTCGTTTAGCAATTTCTTTCTAAGACGAGGCAGGAAACCCTGTTCCCGACGCCCTTTGTCCAACAAATTTTTTATTCACTTTTTACCTCATTATTCACCAAGGAAGACCACTTCAATATTTCCACAGTAACAGACATCGGCTATGCATTCATGGCAGCTATTTTAATCACAAATTCCGAGATCTATAGATTCATAACTAATCTTGATATCTCAACGTCATCCAGTGCCAATAGCCTTTGTTCTAAAATTTCACATTATACCAGTGAAATATTTTAGATATATTATGCCTGATATTAAAACAGTTCCTGTAATCTTGTTCTATCCCCACAGTCTAGAAACATGTTCCAGTTTCTGGAAACTTGTTCCAGTTTGTAGATCTCGCAATAAATCATTTCAAGCCAACTATCGCCCCATGTCCCTCACCGGTGTTGTATCGAAAGCAGGGATCGGCAGTATTTCAAATACAAGTATTTGAAATACGTATTTCAAATAATTTGTGTATTTTGCATTTGCATTTAATTACAAATTGGGTAATGTATTTGACGTTGGTATTTAAATGCTAAAACGTGGGTATTTCAAATACAATTGCAATTAAATACAATTTTGTGGGTGAAAATACATCCCTCAAATTTATTGTCACTGTCCAGAGCAGGAAGAAAACTACCTTCTGCACCGAATGCAGTGTCTCTCAATCAAGCACAAGCCATTAGTGACTATGTGATTACGGCGTTAGTCCAGGGCAAGAATAGTGACGAAATCGACGTTCACAGGCAGACCGGCTAAATAAGTGCCTGTGACAGCTTGCGATGCTCTCCAACCTCATTTCCATCCATATTTTTGCCTGGAACATTCTAAATGCGCGGGTCGTCCAGATTTTCGTAACTGGTGCGAGTTGCAACAATAAAAAATTCTTTAGCTAGTGCTGCGCGTCTTGGTCGTCTCGGTTCTTTGTTGGTCTATACCAAAATGTAATCGACAAAAAAAAAAAGCTGCTTGAAGCTCTGTACTTTTTTCACCTATTACGTCCAAGCTGATTACATTTTTTTGTGATCATATTTCTATTACGTTACTAGAGCCTCGCACACTAACTCCCGAGTGTGCGATGCAAAATTAAAATGAGATACCCAGAAACCCGTTGCAGGTGCCCTGAAGTCGCTGGCTCAAATTTTGAGGAATGTATTTGGAAAAGTATTTGGAGGAGACCAAATGCATTTCGTTGTATTTGTATATTGTACTTAAATGTTTTTTTTAGAAATGTAGTTAGATTTGTAATTAAATACATTTTTGACGAAGTATTTTGTATTGGTATTCCGATACATATTTGCATGTATTTGCCCAAC